GAAATGATTTATGCATTGTTATTTAGTTGAAGGCTATTCACTTCTTAAATGTGACATGCAATCTATTGCCAAAACTGTTAACACCATCAGTTTTGATGTAACTTTCAGATTTATCAAAGTCTTTTAAACGAACGGGATCTAGCTCTTAGAGTTTAAACTCGCACCTGATATTCTCCGACGAATATCAATGTTTACTCGCTTGTTCACAAAGCGATGCAATAGGTTGAATCAATTAAATATTAATTTCGGTAAATAAAGAGTTGAAATTAGTATTTCTCGCTAATTTATTAGTACTGTATGAAATGCTCATACACAATATATTTCCTATTAGCTTACTTCTAAGACAAATCATTACGATCGATGTTAACAATAATTTGTAAGAGAGGATATGGCTTTAATAGTGAAATGTATAAGTACAATGTGGCTGGTAACAAATCACCTTAACTCCCAATCATCACTGACGAGTCCTAGATGGACAAAATAGCTGCACGATACAGATTAATTCATTGTTCGACTCTACTCTATCAAACTCTAAATTATTTAAAGGTGCTGTTCACTTATATCGCTATTAATAGTCTTTAAGATAGCATGTGGTAGACATTGTTGGTGGACTTTAAGTCCCGGGGTTTTGCCGTAATCTGCATGCCACGTTTTAATTCAGTCCAATGGTGGCATGGTTCAGAATATACACATGCATTTGACGCTGTTCGAAAATTATCCGATATATGAAAATTACGAAATTTATCTTATTATAGGACTGCTGCACCTCCCCGTTTAGATTATGATTTTGCAAGGATGTTGCTATCCAGAAACGGCAACTTCACAACAGCGAAATTGAAATCATCAAGTTAGGCTATAAATCTTCGTATCGACATATCATTTCAACGTAATATCATAGTCATGTGAATAACAAATATTTTTCATGCTAAAACATTCTTTTTTGTTTGCTTTTCTTTGAAATACGTTGAAGATAGCAATATGATATTCAATATATCAATATACGGCAAATAGGAAAATATGATTTGTAATAATAAATATTAACAGCATTCTGAGGGTTGTATAATGGTTTATTAAGGCACATTTCTAGTTTTATAATAACATTCTCCATCAGCCGGTGACCTTAAATACAACAATCGTGATCGTAGAAGTAACCCGAAGTCTAGGTTTTAATCACATTCACCATATTGACTTCGCAATGAATTAATTCGTTATATACAATACAATTAAAGTGACCTAAGTTATTTTGATAAAAATGACACAAGCGTTTACAAATGTTATTGAATGAGACAAAAACACGTGTTACGAGTTCAAAACATGCCTAAAATGGACGACCATGGGAGACTTGAACAATGTAGATTCATAAAAAGCCATTGTTAGTGTACCTACTGTATTTGTAAAACAATAAATGATTAAGTAAGACTTTTCAACCTGTGTATCTATTATTCCAGTACATAGGAGCAAAGTTTAATTGGGTGCCTTAGTATCATATACAGCATTTGATTGATGGGAAATAGTTTGATCGATTAGTGACATTTTCATGAATTTAGGATTTTTAAGGACAATATGATAAATTAAAAGAAATGAAAAATTATCTTTGTCAAAGATAACACATAGTAACAAATATATTATATACAGAATAGCCATCACTATATACCAGCAATATAGGACTTTGATCACAGATAAAACGGCATGCGATATTCATGATAATATATATATATCTATATATATATGTAAATAAATTTTCATCTTGATTGATACATCGTCCTGCATTCAAATTTATTTTGTCGATGACAGGAAATGTCATATGCAGCTATAAACGTTGAATCGTTTATATCTTATACTACATTATCAGTGTTTAAGTACTTACAGGGAAAAAGTAAACAGTCTAGTTTGTTAAAAAAACACGCATATTGTAAATAATAGCACATTTATAAAAGCGTTAACAAAAACATATTTTTTAAAAACATAATCTGACAATTCACAACAAAACAACGATGACAATCAGCATTGCTTATCATTGTGACCTTGTCAGGACCAAATGCATGGGCAAGACTGCGTTCCAACGTAAGAAGCCATACTGATATTAGATAAACACAGGCAAAAGTATATAAAAATGAAAAAAAAAACACACTGTATATCTATGCAAATAATATAAATGCAGATTTCCGACCTCAGAATGCATACATTATGTAACATATACTCTTAAAAGGCTTGTATCGATGTACAAATTCTTCAATATACATTCATGCAGCTGTGACAGAAATGTAATTTTAATTTATCTGTTGAATTAAATGTTCAGAGATATTATTTAAATCCTTAATCATGCTTAAGGTGAGCTTTTATTCTGGTTTTGGATTTTGTAGCAGCATTCTTGAATACAATTCAACTTACTACGCAGATTTTCTTCCTAGATTTGATCTTTATCAATTGTCTATATTTTCCATGCTATCAGATTTTACTAATATAATTCCGTTGAATCAGATGTAACCATTGAACGATACAACTCTGTACATCAATGTGTATCCTTCATTAGACGCGTTTGCCTTGTTATAACTGCTATGTATTTCAATTCATGTGTTCCTATTAAAACAACTTGTTGGAAATTGAATATGTTTTCAATACATAAGTTTTCAGAAAATATCGATTTTGAGATGGAACAATTCAAACACAAAATGTCCATAGTCATGCCTTTTTGTGTTTAAAAACTTAAATGTTTTATTAGTGACCTTAATAGTTTATCTCGTTCATCGATTTCAATCAAGTGAGTTGCTTGGACCGAAATGACATCAGTTTTCCACTGGCTATTAATTATAAATTATGTCAAAACCTTCCTATCGACTATTTACCAATCAAAACATTAGGAAATAATTCTCAGTTACACAGGAAACAGTACCATTTGTATGGTTATTAGAACGCATTTAATATCATTTTTGATATAATAATACTGGTAAATTCAAAGAGTGGTATTATTTAGGTTAGATACGGTAAATGGAGGCATGCCTTCACGCAGCTTCTCCACTGATTATATTGCATATTTAATATTTATTCCATTGATCCACGGGTGTATGTTTCGTATTGTTACTTCTATTCACAGAACCATTTTTTTCTAATACCATATTCACTCTTATACATATGCACACTTAAAAACGTATAAATCATACACACTTCAATACATATCTTATCATTTAAAAACATTTTAAATGAGAAAACTCCACATGATATTTATGAACCAATGTAGAATTGGCAAGGTCTATAGAATGGACAGATGTAGAATGGCTGTTACTAAAACTACTTATTTTGTTTCAATAATAATGCTATATTTGATCATGTCTTGACAACAAGCAAGTTTGTATATATTTGAAGGTTACATGTAGATATAAAATACTCATGGAGTATGAGGTTTTTGAAGTTTCTGGAATGGTTAACAAGTGTTTTTATTTAATCTATATAGGTCAGCAACTTCAATAAGCCGGCCGTCTATCATACTTGTAAAATACTAGCATTGACATTTAGCAAGAAGTTTGTTTTTGAAAAGCAAGTTTATATTACTGCTTCGCTAAAAACCATGGAAAAAGTGCCTCCAAAAACTAGACAGATCGAATTGCAATTACGATAATGTCATTGTAATAATGTGAAGATGAACAAAGCATCATTTCTAAAGAAAGGGGGAGATGTTTGTAACTCGGCTTTTCATATGTTAGTTAATTATGGCAATAAAAATGATAATTAAGTTTTAGGGCGCTGATCTTGGTTGTTCAACGTTGTTCATTGACTTTTTATTCCATCCGATGAACGTTTCTTTTCAAGAAATAATATGTTTGACCTAATTTGTGTTCAATTGGCTTCAGACATTAAGCATGATAACTAAGTGTATTTTTTTCTGGTCGTACCTAGTTCGTATGGACCTTTAACGTATTCCCTGAGTGTAATTTTGTAAGAAAGACTTCGAAACTATGGAACGCCGAAAGTACAAAATCTTAAACATCTACCTAATCTTGTCAATCATATAATATCAATGTTTTCAAAGGGAAGTTTCTGAATAATGAGCATAGACACTCGAATAGACAAAAAACCGTTTTGCTTTTTATGCGTTTGTTTAAATGGTTTCGTGTTATAGTTATGGTTGTGCAAATGCTTCAATTACTCAAAAATTTGCTTAATGTAAATAAGTGATGGTAAATATAACTCTCTACGTTTCGTTACTTTTTTCATAACAATTATTGTTTTGGTCAATCTATAGAGGGATGCAGCCAGTACTTATACCATAACATACTTATTACCTTATGAAAATGTCATTGTATTCTCGTTCTATTTGGTTAAAGATCCTTAACTCATAATAACCATCGCCAATTATATCGTGAATCGTACAGGTGTTATGTAGTATTATATATCATGTTTGATCCAAATATTAAAGAACTAAATTAAACAGTTATTCTAGCATTCACATGTGTTATATTGAAAACAACAGCTATTCTATCACTCCAAATTATCCAAATGCGTATATGCAATTCATGCACATATCACGTGTAGCAGTATTACGAAATAATATCATACAGTGAATGTTAACAACTTCATGTTTATCAATTAAAAACACCATATATGTACACAATAAGAATACATTGTTTCCATTTTATATTTCTCCCCCGACTCGTAAACGAAACGCATTTTCTCTCCGATTCTTCGACATTAACATGGATATCTTTTTAATATTTGTATAACAGTATATTCAAAGTTTGGCCAAATGAGATAAAATTATCATATTCAGTAATTGATACAAATAATTTCTTCGATCATTAAATACTGGTACATAATACATACACGCATGTCATCAACATTGCTTTGTTTTAAATCGTTAGCAATATCATGCTCAAATATCTTTATCACGTGTTCTTCAATATCATTGTATATTCTGGACAACTGTTCACTTCAAACACAAACTTTGTTCATCTTCTCTGGTACATATATACCATAAACGACACTTCTTAAAAACATACACTGTACTACTCCCATCGATTGTGTACACAGTTCTCGCCAATGCTTAATGTACGCGACAGAACTGTACGTACCTCATCGTCCTTACTGCTAGTTTCAGCGTTATTTCCAACATGGTTACCGGAACTGTGAAAATTGTTTTCTTCACGCTCCTCGATGGGCTAAATCAAAGTACAAAATGAAAATTTACAGATTTGTGTTATAATTGACTACTTGTATTTTGTTACATAAAGCAAGATTCAAATTAAACGTGGTTAAACTCATCCGAAACCTGATTTAACGTAAAAGAGTCAATAAATTCCTGGCCAATATTTGATAAAAAAAAAAGGAAAAAAACGAAATGGTGGATTGCAAAAGTAGAAAAGATCGCATGTGCTGCAAATGAGAGACTATCACTTTTCCGTCTTATTCATCACACCTGAGCTCATATTATGGCAACGTAGAGCAGACCTAACGATTAGGCAGACTAACAAGAAAACCAAAGTCGTCTAAAAATCAATATTGAGCATCATGCTGAGCTTCTGTCATTTGAAAACAATCTAGACATGATAGACTTAATCTTATTTTTACCTACCTTTTTACTTTTTGCCCTTGCCCTGTAGTATAGCAATTCTCCCAGGAACACAACTATGGACAAGACAATGCCTCCAAGAAGTACAATAAACATTCCGGAAGCAACATTGATTTCAATGGCTTTGCTCTTGGCACTCTGACGGGGATCGGGGCAATTTGGTCGACGCCACCACCTGTTGGAGCATAGTAAATCCCCTTGCTCACACTGGGTATTTTCAAATATATGACTTAAAACGCTTATAGTCAATTAGAAAATTATTATACAAGTGAAATGTTAAGTTACTCATAATAGTAATCTTTCCTGATTGTTCAACATCTCTGTTAAATTAAGCAGTCAGTCGACAAAGTCTTGAACAAAAATTTCGAAATATGAGATATGATGAGTATGTTGTCACAAACAAAGAATTGTTTCAATAATAATTTTCTAACCTTGTATGAGAGAGACAATACACCATCCACGATTTCAATGCCATAACAATACCATATTAAAATCGACGTATTTCTAATAAACAAATTACTGTGTTGCATTGTCCAAATTAGCTTTCAGTTAACGATAGAGTTAGTCAGTTTGTAAAGATGACAAATGTTATATGAAATGAAAAATAGACCATGACGTTGTGCGAAAGAGAATAGGAAGAGAGATTTCAAGGGTTTTATGAAATTAGATAATTGCCCATAACCTTACATGAGATGAGGTTGGAAGGAAAATAAAATTACTGCGAAATGACCAAAAAACCTAGGTCTTAGCTTGAGTTATTGAGAATTCCGGACTTGAACATCACCATGTTGATTGATCTTTGTCTTTTATTGATAGAACTACATTAAAAAAATCTAGCACTACCACACGTGACATTTTTCTGCCTCCACTTTAATGAGACGAAATCTGATTGCATAAGAACCCATCGAAACATATACCATTATTCACCACAATTGTTTCTATCGTCTTCAAGATTAGTTCTGTTTTATTAAGTTAACGGAAACTTAAATGAGATTAATAGATTGTATCTTTCATCTTGAATTAACTCTCTCAGACAGAATATCTGTGTTGCAAACGGCGGACATTGATAACCTGCGATGGATGCTGATATTGAACACAACGGCAAAGAATCAGCACAGCTAGCATACGAACTCGGAAAGAGATAAGCAATATTGACACAAACCTTCAATCTAAGTTACATGAGGTTGATCATCCGCTTACTACACATCTGCTTACGGTATATAACTTGAAATTCTAGGCCAGAACCGTGGCTCTAGATGCTACACGCAAGGACAGAATATATTCAATGCTACACCTACATAGTGCTTGAATCTTGTTTATCGTAACATAACAGGAATCGCGATTTAGAACGACAATGCGATACAACAATAGCATATAATACTGATGAGTCCTAGAAGGACAAGACAGACTGCTTTCTGCAGTTTAATTCAATGTTCGTCTTTACTGTGTCTTACTTTAAATATATTTCGAAAGGCCCTATTCAAATGTGTGTCTTTTTTCATGTATAAGATAATAATTGACAGTAGTTTATTTGGAATAAGGATTAAGGTATATTGATAGAATTTTAAATTTCAAGTTCACGGCTCGTGCGTATATAATTACTTATTTCTAGTGTACATTTAAAGATGTTATCCGATGTTTAGTATAAAACTTCTAATACATACAAAAAATATGTATTAAGAAATTTTTCACTTATTGTCTTACAGACACTCAGGTAAAGAATCGTCTAATTATCTGATTTTGGTCCTACCATCTTGGGCACTTTCTTTAAAGATCTTTTTAAACGCTTTAATGAATAATAACCCTATTTCGTCTTTATAGGAATCGTCAGTGATAGTATTCGCACAAATTTTCAAACCCAAATGAGGAAAATTCAAATTGGACAAAAGAGAGTTGAGTTAATGATTTCACAGCCTTCTGATTCAATTTTTAAGTGTCAAGAAAGCGTCTATAACCGATTGAAAATTGCATCTGCTTTCTAGACAAGTTATGCAAAAATAAACCAGGAAACCATGTTTGACTGACCTTGACGACATCTTGGATTACCTGTAAGTATATTCGCACCTGAATGTAGTTTATGTTCTTACCTTCCGTAACCTGAGTGTAAGTATATTCGCACCTGAAAATAGTATATGTCCCTACTTTCCATAGCCTAACTGTTAGCTTATCCGCACCTTTGAAAGTGTTCTGTGTCCCTACTTTCCATAGCCTGACTCTAAGTATATTAGCACCTTTAAAAGTGTTATATGGCCCTACATTCTATACCTTCAACGGTAAGGTTTAAACCTCTGCCTATTACGCACACCTGACATCCTTGTACGATCATTCATCACATCTCGTCCCTACAGAAGTGTATAATCTGGTTTGAAACAAATTAAAATATTATAAGGGGTAATTTGATACATAGATACAGATTAGGGAATAGTCACGTTGACACGTGTGAATACACGTGGGTGTACTTAGTTTCTTTTCGTTATACTTACTTTCCTTCCAAACGATATAGAATGCCATCATCATTCAGCTTTAATGTTGCCCAAGACAGCTTTTCAGTGTAAATGGAATCCTTTTGCGTAGCTATTCCATATCCTTTCAAATCGAATGGGCTCCCTATTTCTGTTAGACCACAGTCGTTGGCAATATGATGCCGCACTACCGGCGAGTCCCACAGGAAGGCATATTTCTCTCTTAGAACTCGATCGAATCCATTTTCAACTCTTCTTACCATAGATTCCTTCGAGAGCAAGTGCATATGTGCCCACATCTTTGCATAATGCGATATATTTGTATGTTTAAAGAAGTTTTCTATTTGACTGCCATCAACAGTACCATAGTCAAAATCTGTCTGATCTGCTAAGTCAGCAGCTGAGTCTATAGGTATATGTGCATTAGAAATAGTTAAAAATGCAGCTAAATTAGCAGTATATATAGAAATAATAATTAAAGAGAAAAACCACCAAGCGGCACTTACAATTCTACTGGATATCCCAGTGGGTGAACCTGTCAAATTTCCACGTAAGATGGTTCCCCAGATATACCAAAAACTTTCTCTCATATTGTGCATAAATTTTGGTTTTTTGTCGTTGTTCACACGACTAGTCGCAAACAGCACTAAGGCTGTAGTCACGAAACACACAAATATTGCTATCCACACATATTTTGACAGAGGGGATAAAAACTGAAATGGTGATACACTCCTGTCTGGTTTTTTGACAACAACGCTGGTACCTTTTGTCATGAACGGCTTAGTAAAATCCACAGCCATTGACCGCTTGGGTGTAATTTGGAAAGGTGCAAGAGCAATATCGGCTTCCTGAAAAAAATATCAATCACATTTAAATCATTATATTCACCATATTACACATTATTTTATGGACTACAAACTAATGTGTACCTAACATAGATAAATGTCAACATACCTTTCTTCTTACAGAATATTAATCGCTTAATTTCGAATATTTATTCTTGTAGAGTAAAGCTAGACAAACAAAAAGAATGTCTTAACAGAAATAACAATATGATATTTGATATATATACCTTTTCCATGATATATTTCAAGAATCACTACCATGAGTTTCATTTTTATTGCTGTTGTTGTGGATGGTGTCGATATTCTTGAGTTTGTTTTAATGGTGAATCTAACTAAAGATTTTCTGTATCTGTATTTAATAATTATGCATTATTAGGTTTCAATACCTTTTCATACAAAACTCTGACCATTCCTGTCCATCCGTGAGCCTTTAAACTCCCAAATTTGCCATCAGGTACTAATGTCAGATTGTACGTAAAATCCAATAGTTTCGCCATTTCTTGTAGAACACTGACACAGAAGCCCTCCAGATGGTCGTTCAGGTTGTATATAGGGTGTGACAGGGGAGTGTCATTCTTCCATTGGATGAATGGAGGCTCCTAAAGGGGAAGATAAAATCAAATTAGCAATAAAGTAATGCCAATTGTTTTCCATATCGTGACGTATGAGCTGTAAAACGTCACAAACAGACAAGTTCTTTTGGTGATGACACATTTAGTTTTACGACTGTATCGCACATTACATGTAATGGATATTTCTGCATCTAATACACTAACGTTATATCTAGTACGATATATAGATAGTATGATGATTTAAGGACTAAAACAGGAAGTCCAATGTAAATAATATCTTTATAACCAATATAAGACTCAGCTTTTATTACAATATCTATATATTCATAGATATATATCTGTATCAAGAAGAATGTTTATAAAGAGATGCTAGTTTTAGGAACAAATTGGTATTCTAATAAGGTTTATAATATATTGTTACTGATAAGACTATGTGTGTGTACACATTATATTGAAACACCCTTTGTGTCTCTACATGTACACTTGAAGATAATGAGTGTCTCATATTGTTCCTCAGCTTGTTGGACATTTCGCTCGCAAGTAAAAAATAGTTGGTATGTTTACAAACCCGATAGCGGATATGAGAGGTTCATCAGTTGTTGCTGATGTCCTTTGCTTCAGTTTAAGTTACATCAACATATCTCTTCCCCGATAACAAACACAATGGTCGATATATTTGTTCAATGGATATATAACATGATCAGTGAAGATATGAAGGTAAGGGGCAGTAGACAACCAATAGAGAGGAGCTCTATAATGATGATAATAAATAGACTTAAAGACTTCAACCGAAACAGGAACCGAGAATGGACATAGAAATGCAAAAAAGAAAGAAAACAGAAACACAGCAGATATTTAAAAAGTAAAAACAACGACACATGAACAGATAAATAAAGATTATACAGAGGATACGCATGTGAATAGCATATTTAAATTGAAATTAAGAGTTAAATGCAATAGAACAAACGATGATATCCTTATCTGACTCATCGGCGATGCTAAAGGCTAAATTTTGAAGTTTGAGAGGCGTGTGAGGAAATTTCAGTCAAAATCTAGACGAGAATGTCACTGAGGGATATCAGAAGTCTTCGGGGCATCCCACGAATTTATACAACAAATCGTGATTAAAACTGTATAACACTATGCTACAGGTAGGTGAGCATTGCGTCGTTTTGTCTGACGTGTTGTATGTGTGTATTTAATGTTCCTGGAAAGTTTAGCATTCCTTTAGTGATACCTGAGTGTCGGAAAGCAAGTATTGTAGAAACATGACGTCTCAAGGATTAAAATTGAACACCTTCAACTTATGACAAACTTATTAATTAAATATAGGACATTTATCATATATTGTAAGCATATTACTAATACCCCTGTTAGCTACCATATCAGATCAAATTTATGATTAAGTTTCTTTACTATCGATAAGTAGTAACATTAGATATGAAATATCCCGTTAAAAGGATAAATTACATTTTTAGAATCAAGTTCCTATAGCAAAATTGAAGAAGATTCTTTTAAACTGGGTTTTGTCAGTACTAGTATGCTTCACATTGATCATTTGTTTATTGAATGTGACCGTGTAGTCATTGAAACATCACACTTATATTTTCTACTGACTGTGTTATAATGACTTTTTCTTTAGTGATATTATCAACCTGAATATATTGTTTCAAAAACGAAATTCCGTTTTTTACTGTTAAACCTTTAAAAAAAGGTGAAACAATCTCACAGTTTGTTGATAATCCAGGCAATGTCATTAAACTTCTCAATTTTTATGTTTATTCGATACTTCAATGAACAAATAAACCTAATTACCAAATAGCATTACGCAACAAAAACTTACAAATGAAAGCGGTCATACAGTTTTCTTTACTCCACAAGAAAGTACTTAACTTTTTCAATATCTACAATTATTTTCAAACTAACTGAACATATTTTCATCACTCGAGTAATATTTTCAGCGATTGTCTATGTTTTGCTGTCCACTAACTTAATAAATTGGATAAACAAGTATTTATAGATGCGTATATTGTATATGATATATATATCCGTTATTTATGATATAGTTTCTGTAATAAAAAATTTGATTATTTTACCCTCAATGATGGTTCAAAGGAAGCTCTCTGTGGTGTTGTATATGGTTGAAAATAGAACCCAACAAAAGTCAACAAACTGTATATGTGTTCAGCCTTTGACAGATGTTTTGATTGAACTTTAAGCAGAACGGAGGACTGTGAATTTTCGACCTATGAATTAGTTAAAATGTAACCTAATATGTCTAGTATCCCTTCAAGCAATCATGTTGAAATAAAAAATTCATACGAAAAGTTCAAATAATTCAAGCAAACTTTACAAACATGCATTAAATCTTAAAACCTGTAATGCCAAAAAGGTCTCCGAGTAAGTAAAATGAAACCATTCAGTATCAAAGGATATTTATTTTCTTGTTCGTCTAATTGACGGTTTAAAGCGCGCAAACGTTCATAATAATTGTGTTAAATGTAAAGTTGAAGCAACCGACGAATCAAGAGAAACATCGAAAAGAAGATAAGACAAATATCAAAAGTGTTCGTTGTGATAAATTGTCAACTTTTTTTCAACGGTTGTGTTTTTTTTAAATTATTGTTGTATTCCATACTTGCAATGCTTGTATTGAATTGATATTATAGAATATGTAGTTACACTGAGTTAAAAAGCCATGAAAAGGAAAATTACCACATCGAAATAAAAATTAAGAAAACAATCATCAATTTTTTAAGATAAGAGAGCCGATCGGAAAAAGGCAAATGTTCCTAATTTCGTATTTGTTACTTACCAGAACAATTATGTGTAATGTATTGTGTGTCGTCATAATTCAGTATCACTTCGTGCTTAACTCAGGCTCAACCAATAAAATACGGCGTCATATGATGCTAAGAAAATCTTCCTCATCTAACGTCGTATTTCATTGGTTGAACTCAAAGCTGTTAATGAGTCTGCGATGATGCTGACTCGGTGATACGTAAGCAGTCGTGAAATTATCAAAAAGCAATCTCAATTTCATCAAGTATCTAATTAATTTTTCGTTCCATTTTATTTGTAATATGAATAAAACTTAAACTCAGCGATAACTTTTCTTCATTTGTCAGATAATACACCGTACATAAGGGTCGTATTAGTGATCGATCGTTGAGGGCTAAATCGTGTATATTGCAATATATTTTGAAACAATCCGTTCCTATTACCGTACAACAATTCGTTCCTATTACCGTACCAATGGATGTATTTTGTAGTATAGTCAATATAAAAAAATCATAAAAAATATTTATTTGAAAAAGTAAAGTACTGTTTGTAAACTACTTTAATCAGCTCATTTTGAACTCTTGCTTAAAATGATGCTATTGTGAAAATTTGATAGCAAAAGTACAAAAAAGGAATAAACATCACATTTTGATATCAAGGATAAAATACACAAAATAGGCAGCAACAGACAACGACAAAATCAGACTCGGACAAACAACAAATTAAACATAAATAAAAGACAACTATCATGACAATATCGATAGCTTTTCTCATAGATACATAGAGAAGATATCGTTAGCGAATCGTCAATACACAAATGACACTTTTTGAATATATATTATGACATTACTAACGCAATATTTTAACACATTGATATTATACTACAGTATCATAAGAAGAAATGATTACCTAACTCAACATACTCTTTCATTCGAACATGCTTAACACATTCACACTTTCTTCGTCCTTCGATATCGGACAAATGGTATTGAACATTTGTTACATATGATCGATACTTTGATTTATTGATTAGTGATCAATAGTAAGATGTGATTATATAAATATATGGAAACATCACAATAACACTATCAATTAACTCAGATCACAATTTAGCATACCTTTACTTGAAAAGTTAAGAACAGTATTGACATATTTTTGAAGAAAAACAAATCACATTTTTTAAGAAAAAATATGCTAAATTCATAGGTTATGGAATCTATGAAGACTGCTAAATATTATTCCCAGGACCCGCGCAATTACACGTCCTTCAAAAGTGAAAATTGCATTGACTCACTGTTACGTAAATATACTTATTGCACATATTTTTATGCTAATGCTCATCATATTTTTAACAAGTAATTTAATTCTATAAAAAACTGAACGAGAAGATTTGGAAATTCATCTCTGAAAGCCTTCGTACAATGTAGTACAGTGACATTAGGGTTATGTTTTTACTACCTTGATGTTACCTAAAAATATGACCAAAACAAATGTTTAATTAATAATAATATCTCTAAAGATAAAACACAAATTCAATAAGGCACTTACGATGATAGTTGTAATTCGTAGTGGTTCGTTGCCAAATATGTCATCGCCCATTCTCATAACGCTGTCGTATGACCTAGACGGTTCAATCCGCTGTTGCATGGTATCCTTAAGACTCCTCCATGTTCCTGACTGAAATAAAGCACTCTGTAAATGTTTGAAGAAAAGAAAACAGAAACGAAGCATCAGTATACATAACACAGGCGTAGAAACCTTCGCAGACATACAAAGAGAAGTGAGACTCCAGGTAGATTTATGATAGATAATAATACAATCATATAGCCGGCTACTTAAGTGGATACAAATTTTATTGACTTTTTCGAAATTTGAAAAAAACTAATTCAAGATATTGAAATTTCGCGGTCTTGTAGATATAAAATCGTCAGGTTTTCGAGAATTTTGCCCTGATATCAAGTATTAAGTAAAAACAACCATTAATGACCTTGATCTAGCATTGAAGTATTGTTTTGTAAATCGCAAAAAGGATATAACGTAATACCATTAACTTAATGCCAAGAAGCCGTTGTTTTTGCTTGCCCGAGCATTATAGCTCATATCTCTTTATCTTGCATTTACATGTAAAAGAAAATATTATTGCATACTATAATTATTCTGAGAGATTTAAATATTATTGTATGCGAATAGTCTTTAGTGAGCTGTTTCATGTAGCAACTCCGCTATGAGGCTTTTTAAAACTATATTTAATATCACTGATCATTTTGCATATGTCATACTCTGCAACATATCAAATGTTTACAATGTTGTTATGTACCAGAACATCAGCGAAAATATCATCCCCTTGAAAATAATCGGCTATTCGAAAATATCAGTTAAGATTTTTTTAGAACAAAAGTTACATACCAAAAAGGAAATACTTCAAATGTATTCAGATTAAAAATGGAATATTAAAAAACATTGTAATGAATTGCTTCGTTAAGTTATGGAGTAAATAATATGCAATACATATGAATATTTCTTTTGCCTTCTAGAGTCTCACTTACAAATACACACATTATAGAGATATGGATCACAGTTGCTCATTTCCGTGTGTGTTAGTAATTTTGTTTTTTTATGTCAATTATCCATTACCATAATCTGTCTTTTTGTTTACTGAAACTTAGATCAGTTATGATAAACGAAAAAATACATTCATCAACAGTCATAATGTCCGTATAAATATATGTCCAGCCATATTCAAATTAGCACGAAAATGAGCACATGTTTGATATTCAGAGTCTATATATATAGACATGAAAAGCATTTAAACTACACTAACTACATGTACGTATGGCGTGTACATTCCTAGCAAACTACAACATAGCCCACCACATTCTGCAATCATGAGAGAGGCACCATATACATTTGACCTGGATATATTGACAGCTTGACAGATTTATGAGAAGTATAGTACGAAATAGTGTTTACTGTGTATCACTTCTATTTTCGAATATATTTTATAGTGATTACATTCATATTTATTCGTGATCATTTTATCAATAATAAAGACCATTTCATAACGTGACGATACCGAAGATTGAAACCACAGAAAATTATGCGACAAAACAAGTATTCTTTCATGTTTTGAACAATGGAAAAGTGCTGAACTTGCTATTTTTCATAACAAACGACTAGCATTTACGAGAATGTATGGAAATCTTTACAGAAGGAAGAAAAAAATTGAGATTGTACAAAAGACACATTAATGAACTACACCTTTCAATGCAAATTTAAAGCTAGATACTCAGAGCCAAATAATGACTTAAACTGCCTCATACACCTGCGTCGTCATTTCGGACTCGTCAGTGATGCTAATGGCTTAACTTTGAAATCCTGACAGACAACTGGACGACTAGACGGAATATCCAAAGTCGTCAAATAAACTTGTCTATATTTAAATGTTGAGCCGCACTTGATCCAATTTTGTATTTTTCAGGTATCTAAGGTTTGGTACCCGTAATGCTGAATCTTTGGTAGCGTCACGTATTGCAAATTGCTTTGTCATGGAATAATCATTAAAAAAAAGTTAAAGAAAAAAAGACATATTAGAAAAAGTCCAGATAATGTGTGCCTTCTGCAGGAGTAGTCTTTAAAATAAAAGCGACCCACAGCCTTTTCAGAGATAAAGATATATATATAGTAGTATGAACATCTACTAATTATACGACTAAAGTATATTAAAGAACTAATAGGAGTTAATATTAGATACTAACAACTTCATATGATGTTTAGACAAGATCGGAAATTGTCAATTAAAAGGGGTCAGGAAACAACAATGTTACAGGTGTAAAAGTCAATCATATTAAAATCAGTTGATGCGTCATTTCATATAACACAAATATAGAATTAAAGATACATCGGTATCAATATAAAAATACCCTGGTGTTATGTGAAATTTTACTTTTCCAACTAAACAATCATAAAGGACAAAATACTCATGACTTTCCGTTTTATTGGCACTTGTAGCAGTTGCCTTTTATGAGTGCTTAATGCCCAGTTATTATCGATTTTAATGCAGCTTAATGTATTTTTAAATATTGTTTATTAAAAGAAATAAAATTTACAAAATAGCATATGATATTTTATCCCTGTAAGTTGGTAAATTGAGAACGAGGGGAACACAGAAAGAGACTAAAAATGGGATAAAGAAAAGAGAAAAGAGAGCAATTCACAGTTCCAGCTCTGACAGCTGAATATAATCATAACGATTCGATCAATAAAATGATACAATATGATATATAGATTCGCTTTATCACGAAGGAGTGATGACGAAAGAAGACAATTAAAAAAACAAATTCTTCATTTTGAATTATATGTACCTTTAACTGAGAAAAGGAAATTTTAGTTAAGATAACAGAGGATAAAGACAACCATACGTTTTGGCAAAAAATACTCGTTTCTTAAAAAAAATCTTAAAACTAACATTGATGTGTTCATCGTGAATGAAATTTACTAAGACATTGAAAATTTTACAAATGATATTTGCCATTCCATGAGAAATTCTATATGGTAGCACACGAGAAATTGTATTTGGTTATACATGAGAAACTTAATGCTAGGACTTGCAATTCTCTATGCATTTTCTTCTTCAGACTGTGATATATACGTGTCATATTGGGAAACCTTCGCTATAATTTATTTCATGACATAATTGATTTAGTTGATTAATATCAAATACTCAAACCGATTATCTAATATTTGAATAACTGCTTCATCTAAATTAAAACATAAATACGTCTTACACTGATTATTAAGGGAAATTATTGGCATATTGATTTTTGTTGTTCTTTTGTGTTTAACTATTTTATATTGCAATTGGTTTATAAAAAGATTTTCTCGTTCATCCTCATTCAAAGCTTTCTTCATTTTTTTTTTTTTTTTTTCAGATTTACAGTACTATTTCTGAAGATACATAAAATATTGCTTATATTACTTAAAGAATATAAAAGTTTGTAAGATATGTGTTTTAAATACAATAATCCATTCAAATCCATCATTTGACTCTCACTCTCGATATTTGACAACATCGGCATACAACGAAATGAGGGATGCGTTTTTTTTTTTTTTTGCTTTTTTTTTGTCTTAATTTTGCAAAATACTCCATTTTTGTACTTTTGAATATGAGCAAATGCAAAAATGAAAAAAAGTAAATTATCTAAAATGTTTTATTAATCTATTGGTGTATAAGGAGGAGAGGAGTATAAAACGAAGATGACTGAAAAATTAACACGACAAAACTTCATAGAAATTAGGTATGAGTATTTCACAGATTTGTGTCAAGGATTATATTTTTTCTGTTTTCTTCTTATTTCTCTTGTATTCCTATTGGAACAATGTGCATTTTACATTTCTAATATGTAACTTTAATTTCTAATAATACATATATATAATACAACAGATTCATTTTCATCAAAGACGTTTGCTACAGGAAAGAATACATTATTTTTACAATGGGTGCTTTGGGTGGTACATTTGCAAATACGTCACATAGCTTTGTGTTTTAAATACGATAACCAGTTGTGTCCAGGATGTAAATCATGCTACATTCTCACGAAAAGGAGCAATTCTTGACCGGGCTTTACCGGAAGTGAACCATGCTACAACACTAGCGCAAAGGAAGTGCACCATAACACGTGGCAATTCGTGGACCAAACATACGAACTCTAGAAGGGTATACTTTTTAAAAAATAAACAGTGTTAGGGAATGACAATTACACTAGTTACCTGAACACATTTACTCTTGTGCGCAAGATACAAAAAAACATAACATTACTGTCAACAAATACGAATACGCTCAAGTGACTTATAAACGGACAAAAATATTTCAATAAATACCTAAAATAAGATAATCGCATTCAGGAATCTGAATGTCTATATGTGAAAAATAAATAAAAAACAAGGTTTCAAGCAACACCGCTTACCTGGAAATCAGTGTCATTTGTCTCCACAAATAAAAAAGGTGTCAAAAAGTTTTAATCTAGCTGAAGCTCAACATGAAAAAGCGTAAAACTTCGAGTTAAAACCCTGACAATTTTATATTCTTTATTTTATCTTTATAATCGGCGTTTACAACTTCAATTCTCATGGTAGACATACCTTGATGTATACATTTATCCGAAGTCGATTAAAGTTTCCGAAATTGATACCATGATTTGCATAGAAATTTCATTTTCAAAACTTACTGTGCCATTTTTCAGAGTTGCAAGAGAAGACATTCTAAGAAACGTCTCTTTTCTGTTCCCCGCCTTTGTGAACTCCACATGACCTGTGCACCCATCAATGGTAATCTGAAAACGAGTAGAATAACAATATACGCCATGGAAGCTCTGTTGATAAAAAATAAGATTTAAATCAGGAAACATAATTTGTTCTCTTTACAAAGTTGATTTAGGTGTGTTTATTTTTAAAGCGAGTTTTGTATTGATGTAAATATTAATGGGGACATTTAACGTTATGGCGTTTAGATCTAATAAAATTTGATCTATAAAATCATATGTAAATTGCAGTCAAACAAATCGTTCTTGTGTAAATTGGTTTAATGCAGGAAGTTTAAGTAGATATATCTATGTTTGTTGACATAACATATTATACAACGATTAATATATGGGGGAAAATACACTATAGAATATGTAATGAATTTGATATTTGTATACAAAGCACATGCGGTTTTCCCATGTATATAGGAAACATGGGATGAGGTAAACCAAGATTTAGATGTGTTTAATGTTGTTTTTTAGATATTGGTAAGTATGACTCAACCTGATATACTGTGAGAGTAAACTACAATGGTGTTTGGACGATGATATGCCTACAGTGTCTGTGAGTGTGTATGTCTAGGAAAAAACTCTGTAAATCAATGCTGCTTCAAGCTTTCAAAGAAACAGTAAATATACAGTGATTGAGTGTAATTAACAATGATATTTCAATGGTGTCTACATTGTCTATGACTCTGTATGTCTACCAAAGCTCTACCGATCCATGCTACTTCAAGATTTCAAGGAAAACATGACATGCACGAGTAGACTTTGAATCCAATGCAACTTCATTTTTAGACAGGCAAAAGTGGAAAAAAAAATCGCAAGAGCAAACATTGATGTAGGTTATCAAGCTTTGGATATCAAAGCAAAACCATACCTCTAGTAAAATCGAGAAAACTGACATTTCCTATCTTTGCTAACTGTCAACTTCGGCATAAATGTCATTCTTTTCTAGTTAGTTATTCATATGAAATCATATGATAAGGTCCTTCTAACAATTCCTGTTTAGAGGCTTATCTTTTGACTCATAGAGCACTTGTCCTTGAAAGCAAAGCGATGACAGTTTAACCTGACTAAATGTTGAATTAAGTAAGTTCAAATGCCACTTCATATATATGAGTCTCTACTTGGATGCTCGTTTCCTTCCAAAGTTACATGCATTCCACGTTTTCATCCGTTTGATAATCTGAATGTGAATATGATTCAGTAGTATACGATTCAGCAAATTTTGTCTATTTGAAGCTGTTGTAATAATGAGGTTAATAGTTTTCCAGGCGTTGAATACGGTTAATTGAAGTGGTAATGTTGATCTCAACTAGTTTGCCAGTTGGTTCCGCAGTTGAATTCCTTGTTCTCATTTGAGAACGCGATTTTGCTTACTTAGAATCAAGATTTAAATAGCGACTGTCGTCGATAAAGCAGAGGACGCGTACTCTTCCGAAACATCTGGTCTTAATCTGCTTGTACTTTTTTCAAGAGTTTCTGTGTAATTCTTTCTTTTGTTGATATTTTGCCTTGGTTTTATTGAATTTGCGTTTGGGCTTTAATTCGTTTCACAATATTTTCTTGTTGTTTTCATGTCAGTAAGGAGTAAGGCAGTATATATCGATAACTCAAATCTGTGCCCACCTTAAACCCCATGTGGTCAATCATTTTCTTTTCAACTCTTTTTTAGTTTTCATAAGATATAATGGATCCAGAAAATACACCTTGGGAACTCCGTAAATATTAATAACACGGATAATACATGCAAAAACATCATTTTTACAAATCTGATATATTGCTATTTCAAATGTTACGCCAATCAGACCACTGAAATGAAAATGCTTCTTTTCAAGAAATGCTTAATGTGTTCGATGCAGTTTTTTTTTTTTTTTTTTTTAACAATGAATATTGAATAAAAATGATATTCAGACGTTTCGGTAACTGCTGCAATACTATTACAATGATACATGTCTATAGATGCACAAAGAAGAACGCCAAAAAGATGATGTGAATGAAATCTTAGTGATGAGAATTTATATATGTACGAGTGAATTGAAAAATCCATTTACGGGTCATGTGAAGAATACTCAGATATGATAATTGAATGACAACTAAACAATGTAGAACAAATATAGAAGGGTGATAGGTGCATACAACTAACAAGCAGAAAGGCTGGATCTGACCATGTGCAAATACAAATGACACGGTCAGATAAAGATATTACATAGTTCAAGTAAAGTAGATATGAAACAAAATAATAAAGGATTAAAAACATTATCTCACTTCATTCTCGAGGAAAGATCCAGATTCGCCATTCTGAACATGTGAAATACAAATATCGGTAAAGAGAAACTCTAGCATTAGCTACTAACCAAGGTCGAAGAGGATGCGCGAATACCGACTTTAAGTGGGGGCGACATGAAAGTGTGAGATGAATAACCACGGTCAAGGTTTTCTGACAACATCAGTCTTATAAATTGTATTTAATTCCTTTCATTAGAAAAATTCGACAGGAGAGATGATAAAATGGTTTAATGGACACACAAAAATCTAGTGACAGTTCAAATTATACACATGTACTTGACGATCACTTAAACGTATTCAATGAAGAATATTAAATGGGAAAATTATTGAATTCTGGAGTTTGTGCACGTCCTCCCTATCAGGTCTTTAACCCTTATTTCAACCACGTTTGATCCTCCTCTGTCGTCTCTTATGTTTCAACAATTTAGGCACTTAGCATCTTTGACGGGTCCTAGAAATATGAAACAGCTGTAAAATGCTGGTTAATTATTGTTAAAATTCTTCCGAGGATTTCAGAAAGGTACAAGTATTTCTCCTTTCATACATATCCTCTAAGGATTGGAGATTTAAGATCCAAATCTTTTCTTTTTGCACCATTTGAACACGTTTAATAGTTTTCTTCCAATAATCCGCAAATCTCAGAGATCCTTTGTCACAGCTTTCAGTTAACAACTTATATTTGATTAACATTCTCAATGACAGCCTGAGTATAGCTACAATATGAACTGTCCATAACTACAGCAAGTCTGCATTTCACCTGCTTGTAACTACAATATAATTGACCTTCTTTTACCACACATTTCATAATATCTACAATATTTCAATTACTTCTGTCAACCTAGACTTAGAGTTCAAACGTTTAAAAATACGATTACATAATAACTCAAGTTAAATAATTATCTAATATAATCACAATATATTAAGATGTTTCCCAGTCATCAATATCTATTATCTCAATAAGATAACTTACCCTATATGTGTTGTATAGAGCGTATGTCATATAATACTGGTCATTGATGTAAATATCTGTATGTATGATTACAAAAAGTGCAATATATATTTAACTTGTCAATACTATAACTGTTGTGGGGATATAGGTTTCACAGAAACACAATTATTGAGCTAAGGCTAATGTATTAACAACATGCAACACCCACGACACGGAGTTCACAGTTACCTGTCGTAACGTCTTGAGCATTTGGAATCTACCAGATCCGTTGTTAAAGTCAAGCATAGCCTGATAAATCTTTAAAGAGTCGTGATATACAGCGTTGTTCAATGTCCAGTTCGAACCGGTCAAGGCACAAAAGCTAGTATTGGTGTCTAGCATAAGAGACAGGGATGTCATGTTCGCTCTGGAATCTATGTACCTATCTAAGGCTATGTCGTCCACTCCCTGAAAATCAAAATAGGAAAGTAAGAACAAAAAAACAATATGACAGAGAATACGTTAGATGTTAGAGTTGGTATTTATCTAATGCTGAATCGAGTTTGTTTTAGCCGATTTGAATATATAGATTTTACAGTCAACACAGTCGTATTTCCGGTTTATTAGTAATCAGCTTTCAAAGTTACCATCTCCAAAGCCATTTTGTCCCATTCACGAACAACTCTAAATGTGTAAATTATGATGGCTAGGAGAAACGAAATGTAAATTTGCATCATATATATTCACTTGTAAGTTCCATAAACAACCATCACTCCGTTAAATATGGAGACAGGTAATGGTACCTGGTAAAATCACACTAAGAAACATTTCAGACAATTGAACAGTGATAAATTAGCGATGCCTGCTTTTATTTTTTTTCCTGTGAATTTCTTTTCGCTTCTTTAGTCATCACTTTTATAATTGTGTAGAATCTATCTAACTGGTACAAATGTCATAAAACTGACAAGCCGTATTTTACGACACTCGTGACGTTAAATGGAAATCCCAGACACAATTAACAGGTATTGAAAGTTTTTTTTTTTGTTTTAACCAGAAGATTTCATTGCTATGTTTTTGTATCTGTGTGGTGATATGAGTTTTATTTGACGCACTGCTGTGTTATCATGAGGCATATTGCAAATACATCATATATTCTACCTGATAAAATAGCATTTCCTTTGGTGACACGCTTTCCAAAAGCTAAATAATATATGAATGCACAAACTAGATAGCATACATTCTCAAAAACTATAATGACATGAAACAATATATATATCTATATATAAACTAACTTGATATGCATTGGAACCCGCTGACAAGTACGCGTAAAAATATATTTCACAACGCATGCAAAGTGGAAATTGACTTTTATTTCAGATAGTAAATAGGCAATTACAACTCGTGCTGTCTAAATGTAAAATAGCTTTTAAAATAGTGGGTTCAGTGTGCAACGTATAACTCCAGACCGAACAATTGCTTCTGTCGCCGTCATTCAACAGTTGTCTTATAGATCACAGAGGGCATATATATATTGATATACTTTATATGTATTCCTATATCTACTATGCAATATTTACATCTGTAACAAAGTTATAATGATATTCATAATTAACGTATCGGATGGGTAGAAATAAAATTACGTGGACACGAGAAGCGAACGCGTCGCAAGGTATAATTCAATTAAATCAAACAGCGCCACTAGAAATATGTGTAAATCAAGCCAAAATTCTATAGTGTGGTTAACAATTTAAGACGTTTAAATGAATTATGAGTAAACATCAGTTTCTTAATCAATGCATTTACCTCTGGGATATGCGAAAACATTACGCATTAGGAATAAATCAATTAAAGATATCGTTTTCTTCCATAATTCAGATATTTATTACCAGTTTTACCTGCTTAAGATTCGCCCTAAGGCTTTAACAGATAGCATGTAATATAACGTTACTCAAAATATGATAGCATCATCATTCCATGGAGCGTAACCATGTCGCCAATTGATAACGTCATCAATTCATGAAGCGTAACTATGTCGCCAATTGATAACGTCAACATTTCATGAAGCGTAACCAAGAGTAAAATATTTCTATCTTGCCAGGGTATAGAACATAACCACGTGCTAAACCGGAAGTTGTTAATTTGAGACATGAGAGACTATTAGTGTAAGAAAAATTACATATGATGTTAAGACATAACTGAACATTTTTGTTTATGCCGATCAAATGCATTATGGAAATGATTTATCATTGCTATTGCCTTTGTATAGTGGATAATATAGATTACACATCGGTAAAAACATAAGTTGTTATTTGCCTGATTTTGTTTCCATATTTGACATACTATATTTGTCTCGGTACTCTATTTATGGTATGTTTGAGATAAGGGGAAGAAAAAGGATCTTCTCTAGGAGGAGATTCCCAACACCCAAACCCTCGGCAAAGCCTCGGTTTGGACAGTCGTTAATATCCTTCTCGGATAGAGATTTCTCTGTCCTGCTTTAATGCAAGGGAGATAGTCTATCAATTCACGGCACAGACCCGTGTAAGATAACAAGAAGTAGTGACTACAATGTATTGTTACATACCGAAGACAGAAAAGTGGAAACTGGAACATAGCCTATTGATTCTATGTCATCCTTTTTCCGAATTACTTTTATAAACTTTTTAGAAAGCATAACCTTGGGTCTTTCCATCAAATATTACCACATAAACATCAAGTTTGCCTACGGTACAGTGTGGCATCTGCCCTATCATGTACTCTTCCAGACTATGCGAAAATCAGGGGAACAGTTTTTACCATAAGATTGGTGAAATAGGGGTCACGATAATGATATCTTCTCCGTCTAGAAAGGCGTAAGCTAAACTCAAAAGAGATCACCTACATCGGAACACGCCCTATCATAGATAATGATACGGGAGAGTATGCTGACAAATTCTGCGTGTTAAATGTGTAAATATTGAGGCAAAATGTGCTAATTTAATTCATGTCTTGCATGGTACCATTCTGGTTGATAAAAACTATCAAAATGTAACCCAAAGGCAAATTAATCATCATGAATACGTGGGATGTTGGGAACCGGCAGAAAGATAAGGAAGTTAAGATCATACATCATGTCTTGAAGATAAGAAAATCAAATTAATTAGTATGTTATGTGACTCGAACATCACTTGGTTTAGCATCATAGTAAATTGATACATGACGAATATTTCTATCTGTTATCTTTGGGTATTATATCGGCTGTCAGGGGATTTACCATGAAGAGCAATTATCTGATAGTTATGGAAACATATTGCTACTCTTAAGTGTAAAGCAACAAATTGCCAGTGGCGAGTTATATGCTCTCTTGCATTGTTGATAATCTCGAGTACTCAGTCGACTTCTAACGTTGGAGTTCTTCAGAAATGAAGATTCAGAATATATTGAGGTAACATATGTGCTTAAATGAAAGGATTTATTTTATTTTTGTACATGCAATTACAAAAGACAGTTTATATTTTCCCTTGGGGACTACTGAGGTTTATCTCTGGACGTCGATGGTCATCTAACTTCATCTAAATGGTTTTCAGGTATCTGAACTTGCTGACGTAACATTTTAGAAAAAAACAAAAACAAAACAAAAAAAAAAAAAAAAAAAAAAAAAAAAAACAAAAAAAAAAAAAAAAAAAAAACAAAAAAAAAAAAAACAAAAAAAAAAAAAAAAAAAAAACAAAAAAAAAACAAAACAAAAAAAAAACAAAACAAAAAAACAAAAAATCACATCATATACTAATCAACGTTATTCATTTAATTTCAGTCGTCGCCGATTTTCCTACTAAAAACCCTTCATAACTTTATATTAATACGTAGATTTCATTCTGAAATAAAAGACTTTTAAACGAACATTAGGTTGTAAGCTTATGATCGATTTCGGAAAACCTCTATCCCCACAATTCCATTCCGGGCGTTTTACTATTAATTTTAAAAGTGAGACCGATTTACTTCCAAAGTTCACCGACAGAGAAACCGGAAATTACTTTATGCGTCATGCCAGTGGACATTGGGTAATATCATTAAGTGTCTCAGAAAATGCATTAACAGCTATAGGTTTTCAAAAGATCAAAGCTTAACACCATGGCATGAGTCTATATAATGTTGCTGAAGCGGTTCAGGTTTGTCATTTCATTTGAAATAAACGAGCGTTAGATTGTTCTAATATAGATCGTCTGGAGTAGATGTTGTGGTTGGAATACAATAACAATTTATCGGCAGGGATTACCACGCCTAGAACCGGGCAGAAGATATCAAAATGAAGGGGGATTACCATTGCAGTACATTTCAAGCACCACCTATTTACAGTTGAAGAAAAAGCTTTTATCACAGCGGCCTACAACCGACGATCCGGATTAGATGGTCATTTTGTATAACCAAAGCCGTATATATGGATTAAGAAAATTAGGTCAGAAGTCAGAAACAATAAGAAATGAATATGAGACGCGATAGGTGATGGAATCGAACAAGTCTCGCCAATTAGTTACCTGAAAATTCTTGCCTTATACATTGTAAATCCAATACTTTTTCGTGGAATATAGAGGGAATTGTGATGTTAAGTATATTTCTTAAAAAGTATATAGGTAACTGAAGTCCTACACGATACATTCAAAATAATCTGAGGGAAAATAATGAAAATGATTGAATTAAGATGCAATTTAGATTAATGAAAGCAGTATTTATCTGGGTGACTTGTTAAGTTGGTCGAGTTTTACCGAGTCGGTTTATCTGTATATCTATCAAGTAATGAGTGAATTAGTTAAATCAATGTATGCCTCATTATGATTTATAAAGGTAAATAATTCACTACTCATCCCTTCGGTCAGCTGTGAAGAAACGATACAGTAAATCAAAGCTATCATGTATAAACGCGGCTGTTATGCGTTACTGCTTTCACATGAATCGATCTCCAGGGGGTCAGTGTATACCTTGGTAACATTATGTTAAGTAACACATATTGCAATTGACCTATTAGCAACGCGTATATTCCTCCATATTGACCGAGATGCTGACCGTACTCATTTCATCATTTTGAGAATAAAAAAACTCTTTGATGATTAAGATTTTTCAGTTTTGTTCCTCATTCAAAGGTTTTGCATTAATTAATTGCTGTATAGTTTATTGAATATTTTGTTTGTATTTGGCATAATTGTCTTTTTATATATCCTTAATAACATTATATCTATATTTGATGATGTTTCTTACCTAGATTCGTTTAAGTTAGCATAGCGGAATGTAAGGCGATTGAGTAATACTTCAATCAAGAATCCGAACTATACATTGAATTGTTTGAATCTCTTTCAGCATTTTGACATTGTCTGTATTGCTTACTTGTGCATTGTACATGTACCATTTTGCTGTCTCATAAACGAGTTCAAGATGATTGATGAATATTTAGACCGATCGTTGTTTTCCTTTAGATATTTTATTACAGCCTAAAATGAATCACCTTCATACAGCGAAAGTTTAGTTTCTTGTCCTATAATGATAGAAAATCAACCAACAGATCAACATGCTGGATTGATGTAGAAATAAAAGTGGTATTAAGTGTGTGTTGGTAATCTGTTTTGGAATAGTTAGGATAATTATTGAAAAGCAAAGCACATCCATTCAATGTGGAAATTAGTACAGAATATAAAATTCCAGCATCTGTATAATCTTTTTAAGATGATTCAATAATTAATACGACAAAAGACATGCATGAATGTCCACTCAATCTGATGAAATCTATTCGATGAAGACATTTAGCAAAATTATAGTGTACTTCCAAACGAGGACTTTATGTAGAAAAGCCTGATAATTTAGTAGTTACTTACCATGGTTACAACCAGCCATGTATTTGGACGGGAAAGTAAACTTAAATACAATGCCTGGAAAAAAGAATATTAAACAATATTACAACACATTTACGATAGCAGTTGTTAAAGGTGGGCGTCCTTTCGTTTCAATTATATTTCATATTTCGTTTTCAGAATTTTTCATTAAGTTGAAAATATTACCAACATCTTAAACACCTGATAAATCAAAGAGTAAAAAGAACATTATACAATAATACAACACATTTATTATTACGGTTATTTTATAAGTGGACAACCGTGTGTTTCAGTTATTTATATATATATATATATTTCCAGAATTTACATTTACTTAAAAGTATTACCAACGCTCTGTGTTTTTTCACACCATCCCCGCAACGCCCCCCCCCCCCCCCCCACCCCCCCCCCCCCCCCCCCCCCCCCCCCCCCCCCTCTCTCTCTCTCTCTCTCTCTCTCTCTCTCTCTCTCTCTCTCTCTCTCTCTCTCTCTCTCTCTCTCTCTCTCTCTCTCTCTCTCTCTCTCTCTCCCCTTCCGTCCAGCGAAAATATTTTAGTTCAATTCAATTAAAACTAAGCACACGCAGGTCAAGCACAACAGTTGCCTACACAATGTCAGAACACAGACACATTCATTACCGCATCGCAGCAATAAATTACGACGGTAACTTCAGAAATCGCGTGACAAAAGACAACAAGCCATTTTATAGTTAATACATCAAGTTGCTATCTGCCTATATGACTGTAACGCTGGTAGGTGACATGGTTAAAACACCTAATACGTTCTGTGGAAAATTAGGTCAGTAACCATTAGTTACAGTAAACAGATGTCAAATTAAACAAGAGACAATGAGCATTGTTATAAATTTCGGAGGCGGTAAAATATTCGGACAAGAATTGTATTCCCTCCTGTATATTTTTCCCCTGGTATGAAATTTTGGATGGATAAGCTTCATTTTTAACAAAATGTTAGTCATATTGGATAAAAGTCAAACGGTGGCGAACGTTTCACCATGAACAGTAAATGCAGAAGCAGGTGTGCAAATGAGCTTATACATCGAAAATATTTCTGAAGTTTGTTGAAGGTATTATTAGATTTATTTTGATATAACGAATAACGAACAATCCGGGCTTCAAAACCCAACTCGATACCATATTTGTGTGCAAGACCCTAAATATCATCAGTGCAAGATGATATATGATGAGGAGGAGGGAGGGGCGGGCTCTTCACTCAACCTTCAAATTCGACATCACTTAGGTATTGAAAATATAGCATTCAAAAGGAAGTTAGGCAGTTAATTTAAGGAAAATCTTGCACAAATTTGACTTTGGCGAAAAATAGCAACATCTGGATCCCTTTGCATGACAATACAGCGTGTTTAATTTAACTTACGAAATCGCAATCATGAATAATGAACTACATCAAACTTAATGTTGTTTTGTTTCGAAATAATATAATCTAAACAAACACACATTTTAACTTTATACAAGCATGATATGTACCATGAATTAGGGAGAACATAAAGATACAGCTGGCCTAGAAAATTGAAATCATGCCAATGTCTAAAACATAAAATGAAACATTCATTTGTGACTATGATTTAGATGCTAGAATAAAAGTAGATGATAATGGTCGTTGCGATATTATCTGTTTCCCTTTGACTCGAGTGAATGACAGTGTAAATTAAACCCACCACAAATCGTACAAACAAACTAGTGAGGAGTCCCTTGTTGTTTTGCTTTAATTTCCAAGGAAACTGACATGTTTTCCCAATATAAGAAATATTGAATAGTAATTCGATGAAGACCTTGCAATCTGCAAAACATTCTAATCTTAATTAAATTATCCCGTTTTATTAATGTCGTAAATTTTGAAAATAGACAAATATAGCACCTGTCTCTCTAGGACGTCTTAAAATGGCAATATAGATTGAATAAATATTCCGAAACTTTCAGTGTGACGTTCCGATGTTGACTGCCTTTTACACCAATGTGAAGTATGTGGTTTTTCTTATCTTGTAAATTATACAACAGAGATATATAAACCTAGTTTGTTAAGTAAAAACCCATTGAATGTCTGCTATATTGATCTGATTACGGATTAGTTCATAAAATTAACACAAAATAACATTATCGTTCTTCAGTGATGTGTATGGTGTATATTTTCAATGCTACTTTGCATCGGGGAAGTTTTATTAATGTGGAAGGAGTCATGTATATATATGATAATGCATGCGGAAACTGCATATGATGTATATATATATAATATCTGTCAAACTCAATAAAACTAGAGTATAACGCGTACGACGTTAATGTGTTAAAAGTAAAAAATTGGAAGTTTAGTCACGTAAAGCTCCGCTAGTCAAGATCATCATAATCCGAAACTTAATTGTTGTAGACAAGCAGAAGATGTTATCTTATCATACTCCTAGTAATATTTCAGGAGTCTAAGTGTAAATCTTTTTTGTACATTTGGCCCTATGTTTATGGAATTTGAGGGTCGATTATGATTATGATGAAATGTTGATATTTTCTTGAAGTTTTTTGCAATAAAAATAAGGCAAAATATGAACAAAACAAACATTTTCACAGTGACTCCGGAAAACAAATTACAAGAAGAATGAGACCAGGTGTTCCGAAAGAGTTATCATCTTCTGCTTCATCCACAATACCTGCCATGTGAATCTTGGTCAATTTAAGTAGATAAAGTCAAGATCTCAAATGAGAACTAGGTATACAACTACGAAACCAACAAGCAAACTAACATGCATCAATTTTGTTCAGTTTCAAAGAAATACAATATTTCACAATGAGATCACAATGACGACCGTTACGTTTATCTTTCATTAATCTGCATCTTTGCGTCTTGTGTGATTTTCAGTGCACATTATCAATTCATATTTTATGTATCTGTTCTAAATGTTTTACTGTAGACCTATAACGTATGTTACAAGTAACATGTTTCAATATTTTACAATGTTAAACAATACTTACTTGTGTTAGAATTATTTCTGCATTTCTTGAAGAGCACAAAATGACGAATTTCTCATAGTAATTGTCTCTCAGCTCTTTTAGTGCGTTCCTCACATATGAACTTGTACTGTTATAGCGTAGATTGAATGCCTTGATCCTATCTGTATAATCTCCTATAAGGTTAATCACAACTTGCGATGCTGAAATAGAATACAAAGTTGATTAGTTTAAATTCAAAACGAACCAAGGTATGAGAATCATTCTCCAATTTAGTACCCCAAAAAATTTTGATGTGAAGTAAAATAGCTTATGTTTATTTGAAATATTCAAACAATACAAAGCATGTAGGGTGATGGATGTCAAAGAACGTCAATGTTTTATTTACCAACTAGTATTTATTTTTAGTATTTTGTTAGTATTTAAATGGTATAGCCAGGACAATTTTTTTAATCACACATATTTCACCTTAGAGTATGGGGTAAAAGTCACAGGAACCTAACAGCAGTGCAGTGCGCGTCAGTTTAAGGTAATCATGAGTTCCAGCAACTTTCGTTAAAATATCTTTAAACGTTACTGCACGGATAAGAACAAGGACAACGAGAATATAAACAAGAACCAGAATTAAAACAATGCATCTCCCTCCCTTCAGTCGAAGGGGAGACTCTACTATAACCAATGATATATCTTAAGCCCTGTGGTGTAATTAAATCCATTATTGAAGTATAATGTGTGTGATTGGAAACATGTCATGAAGGTTCCGACTATGTAATTTTACAAAGTAACTTCCGGTATGACACCGGAACAACATTGACTAATGTAATAAAAAAATCAATCACTGATGACACGTTTCCGGAATTCTTTCCCATTCGAGGACTTCGGCTCTTATATTGACTAGTGATTTCCCATAGTTAATATGTCAAGGGACATTTTACAGCGGATATACAAATGCTGAGGGATGACGTGGAAAAAATAAGCGGAAAGGTTAAGCCATGTGACTGAGTTTTAACTTGAAACAATGATAGTATTAGTGTCACCTTTGCAATTTTCCCGGCGATAGTGGCAAAAGGCGGCAACATGACGGAGTTCGCGCCAGTCTGTGGCACACTCCGGAATAGTCTTGTAAATAACATGTCACCTGCAGCCTCCATGGGCACGAATGAATAACAGCGTCAGATCAGGACGAGGACCTGGGACCTTAATAACGTGACAAGATCAGCGGTTTCGAAACGAATTTTAGCACACTTTCATTTAGCGTGACAAAGCCTCACTACTTATTCACTGTACACATTACGTATCTAATTCAATTCCTAATTTCATACGCACCTATGTTACTTTTAAATGTTATTACAGTTAACTTCCTGATTTTGCGCAAACAAGCAAAAATAAAGAGAAATCCTGGGTTTTTTTTTTCTAAATTGTGCATGCCCTGATACTTGAACATAACCAGTGAACCCAAAATCGATCACATTTAGGCAAACATTTCATACCGAAGGGTTGAACAGTTACCAGTTAAGGGTATAAGTATATATCTACTGAACATGTTTAAATTTCCTATTCTCATTAAGTAGTTAGGGCGATTGTCGCATATACCTTTACATTTAATTTCCAATTCAAATATGGATGTATAAAAAATTTGGACAATAAGTGTTGTAGTCCAAATAATGTTTAATTGTTATTTTTGACCATTGGTAATTTTCCTAATTTGTTTCATATGTGCGCATACTAATCGACATTAAAAACGCGACATCGGTAAATTATCATTTACTGAAAGAACGATATTTTTATTCTTTTTTATTTAAAAATATGAAAATGGTACCATTTGTTGAAACATGTCCAATAGCCGGTGATTTGCTAAGGAACGTTGAGTTAGCCGTGCTTAAAATGCGGCTAGTTTAAACTATTTGTTGGTCGGATTATAAGCAGGGTGTATCGCATAATATAGGAAGAAGAATATCGTAGAATGGTTAAAATTTTGACGTTACAATTCTTAGTTTTATACACACAAAACACCACGAGCTTGAACGACCGCCCTCGGTCCGGAAAGCCACGTACAAAAAATATATGCAAGAACATTTATGTAACGTATGCCCAAACTGTGATTGTATCCGCGAGGGAAATAATTGATATCTAATCAGGACAGAAGATAACTGCCCTTTGCTTCTATGTATTGAATGTTTGGATTTCCTTTTGCTGTGTTAGACACATTTATGCTGCAAAAATACGCCCTCGATGTAAGAAACGTAAAACCAAGAGCACTGTGCCAGAAGAGCCTGGTAAATCTTTCATGAAGAAAACAGCATAGAGCGCGAACTTCGATGCAGTGTGTACTGTCATATGCCACAGAAGCTTCTTTTACCTAAACAATGCATTCGAAGCGGCGGAACGGCCTTGCCGCCATTGACGTAAATGAATTATCTCAAGTCATAGGAATATTGAAAATAAGGTTATTCTAATTTTCACTACCAGCATGAATGATATAAGCGAATATTGGTTTTTCATCTGATTGTTTCAGATTATATACTACTGATTCGGAAATACATGTGGGATGTGTAATTTGTAATATAATGCTTGTCGCATTTTAAATGTTATTGAATATACATAAAGTTACAGATTGGAAAGTTAACAGCTAACCTTTGAAAAGCAGGAGATGTCCTTTTGACCAAGTTAGGTAAATATTAGAGTATTCATTATAACATTGAAGCATGTGAACAAGTCATGTCACAAGATATCATAAAGAGGCCAAAAGTAAGTCTCTTGGGAAAAGATGAACACATGATGTCAAGAATGAGGACCTTGCTCTTTGAAAGACGCGTAACTTTAATCAAACACTGACATGTTTTGTTTAACAAAGCCTCATGGGCAGTTTTCAATACAGTGTGGGTGATTTTCCGTGATCTGCCACTCCCTTGTGACAACAATGTTGACAGAAGGTCGTTATCCTACACATAGGGACGGTCAATCGACAGTGGTATTACAAGACTGTCAACAGACAATGTGTTTATACCGTCGCTCATAAAAGACAGATATTACATTCTGATTTATGGTCACAAAAAGATAATATTTCATTTATTCAGAAAGGCGATGTTTCCCAATATAACCAACACCATATTAATCCTAAATACAAATATTAATTTCACATCAACATCAAGACAGTTTTTCGGATACCGAACATTTCTGCGTTATCGCATTTTACGTGAAACAGGAATATGTTGTATCAACAACGAAAAAAATGAACTTCTACATTCATGATTTGTGAATAGTCGATCACCAGTTTCTACGTCACTTTCGTTTGCTCTTTTTCAAATGTAGAGATTTAGTGTCATTGATACAAAATGTTTCATATAATGAAACTATGCCTGTCGAGCCATTATCAATGAGTAGTGTTTGTTGATGGTCAAGTATATATGACAAAGATGCCTACAACATATCTAACACACACGACTCTACAATACCACAGACAGATGTAGCTATGGATACATCAGTCTAGAATATTAGTTATCGCTCCATTCCCCTAGTGACACAGCAGTCAATATTACGAAAAGACAAATCTCAAGTGTGCTTATGATCAGTGACCAGTATAGGATTTACCATAACTCAGGGCACTATAGCACTGTTAGGTCGCCAACCTATGGGGATCTAGCCGAATACATCAGCCTTGCTCTTCAAATTAAGTAGCCTTTCCACAGCACTGACAGCCTATAGCTGTGCTATGTGTTATGAGACAAGTCTACGTTTCCATATATATGTTTTTATTGCGTTCGTCAGAATATGCTTCTATCCAAATGTGATTCAATTGCGGTATTTTAATAGGTTTTGTATATAAGAAGTAGTAGTAAATCTGAACGCTTGCTCTATTGTTCATATATCTCCAATGATTGTGTCTATACTTTGCTTTTTGTTTTGTTTTGGTTTTTTCCTGCTCAAGTTATTGATTTAAGCGTTTTATATACATTGCTTGAATTTATTCGAGTAGTGGCACGCTACTGACTATATCCATATACGGAACCTTCATCTAAAATAATCAAAAAAGGTTATATTTTTAAATTAAGGGACTGGTACACCTCCAAATCTATATTTTGACACGTTTTCCATAAATTTGAATTTTCCTCAGTCGCCTCCGATGTTCCTTAGAATCACTGACGAGTTCTAGGATGACGAAACAGCTGCACTGGTTTATGATTTATTGTTATCTACTGTATCTTTATCTTAATTTGTATCAAAAGGTTCTATTTACTTCATATATGTCTTTTATACCATCTTGAAGACTTCTCAATTACTTTCACGAGGAAAACAAGCTAAACTTTAAAATATGTTTGTCGATTTTGTAATCTGGTTACAAGACTGCAACCACCTTGAAAGCTAATGTCGAATCATAGTATAATTACGTTGTTCTCGGGATGAGATACCAGAAAGCATCAGCAATGTTTAGAAGTGTGGCAATCTTTCGCTACAATTTTAAGATTGCGCACAACAAATGTATAACCGATGGTTCTGAATCTCGCTAGTGTGTTTAAATACCATGATTAAATTTGGACTCGATATGGCGGATCATTGCGTTACATCTTGCAAATTCCACATAGAAGATTGTAGGGAATGTGAATGATATATGACTGTTGTAGTATTGCGATAGTTTGTGAAGCACGATATTTCATTAATATATTAACCGAGAAATATTTCTGAAATAGATGTCCTTTGCATTGAAAGGAACGAAAAATCCGACATATTCATATTTTCAAACTGAGTTTACAGTTTACTCTCAAAGGCCAGAATTAAGAATCAACAAAAGGAATTCCATCAAACATCGTACATCGACTAAAAGAAAGTTAATCTGAATGTAAAATAATAACACGTTTGTGTTACTGAAGCATGAAACGAAACAAAGGCGTACAGGAAACGGAACCGTAGTTGACATTTAGGTGTGAAAGCAGATTATGAAATGAAATTCGACACCAAATGACGCTTACGTCCTGGACTAGACCTTAAAGTCCACTGGACGTGTCTACCACCTGTGGTCTCGAATAGTGTACAAAAATAAAGTATATTTCTGTACAAATACCGAAATAGATACAGAAGAGCCAAATAGTGAATAAAAATGGTTCATCCTTTTATAGCCCGTCAGTGACGCTAAAGGCCTTAATTTTGAAACCTAAGAGTCAACGATGGAACATAAAAATTGACCGAAAGAGGTCCCAAGATGATTTATGCAAAGAATTATGGAATTATGGAGTTTTTAATAATTATAATTATCTTCGGTAATTTCAATCCAAATACAGCCAAGAAAATAAAGAAATGTCAATTTGGTGTTACGTCTTCTTCCTTGTTTAAGCTTTATCGACGCATTTCTTACATAATTATCTATGTAACAAAGAAAAAAACGAGAACATAAAGCTATATTTGTCCTAAATTACCAAAAGCGTTTATATATGTTATACTATGGGTCTTTATTTGACTTCCCACGGGAATACGTTCGTGTACACATCAAACTATTACTTTCCTAAATACAGACTTGACGTGTTATCGGTTTCGTCCTATAAAATTTTGATGTGTTCTCTAGCACGTCAAATAAAGACATAGTGGAGTTTGAGCATGTAAAATGAAGATGTATCGTGCTATCTCGTCCGACCAATGAAGACTAGTCTTCTCCTAAGCATACCTTACACTTTTTTATTTTTCTATCCACTTAATTATGCTATTTTCTAGCGCTTTAATTCAAATGTAGATGCTTTTGATATGGATATTAATTTTTTATAAATAATGAAAATATCGTCATTTGTATATGTCATGCTCATTTGCCCCATGAATACATGTTAAGTAAAAAGATCAATCAGTTCAATGTAGAAATTCCAATTTAGTACTTATCTTATATTCATTAATTATCTACGTTAACCTAATAAAAAAAATAACTGACAAGATGAGAATGTAATACAAAAACCTTATTGAAGTAATCTCCGACAATGGGCTGTATTTCACAAATGCTTAAAAATGCACAATGCAAATGCTTATTCTGATAATATATTTGTTAAACAGAATTTTGTTTTCAAAATTTTCATCAGTGTTGATACAATATTTGGAATGTATAAGGACATTGAATAAACCTACACAAAGTATCATTGTCCATTTTTCTTAATTTTGTGAGATATATTTTTTAGATTACATCGATCCCATACAAAAATTACTGGGCAGAAAATGATTACATTTGGCATAATATTTCCAAATTCTTATTACTTACCAGCCTCGTTATCATATAATATTCCGACTCGTAGCCAATTAAAATACTTTAGGATGTCACATATAGCCATTCGGTACACACTAATGTCAGGAATAATCCGGATAAGAAAGCGATGCTGACCCCAATCCCAGGGTACCATGTCTGTCACAAAATACGGTATCCGGTTATGTTCTGTTGCTACAGCAAACGTTTCACTAAAATGTCCAATTAAAGCTGATATCTTGAGTGTCTTTACGATTTCGTCTGCTGCAATACACAATTTAAAATATAATTATAAATGGTACTTTTTGGACATACACTCACCGTCCTGATACTGATAAGCATATACTTAGTGCATAAAACACACATAAGAACAAAGTTTTCTTGATTTTCTTCAATTATTTTGAAATTATCTGCGGTTATTCTGATTCATGTACTTAACCCACTTTAATGAACAATTTGGCATGCTTTATGCTGAATGCACACAATTACTCTCACCGCGATGTGAGTCTCTGTACCAAGGCAAAGCTTTAGCGTAGAAGTCAATGAGATATATATCAAGAATACAAAAGATTGTGCAAACTAAACATACAATTTGTACCGGATTTATAATTTAAAAATAAATAATATCATAAAAGAAAGTGTCACAGATATTCAAACGTAAGATGGCAAAATGCAATTAGTTAAAGTCAATGCAAGTAAGAAGCATTTTATTTCGTTCTAACATTCGATATCTCAAGTCAACCTTTTGTTTTGAAATACTGGAGTGAAGTCAAGTTAAGATATGTGATTAAACTTACCGTTTTGGTATTGATCAAGATTATCGCCCCTGACGGTTGTGTTGATATAAGTGATACTGATGTTTGTTCCCAATCGAATCAGGAGGTCGTCAATGAGGTCATGTACGGAGGTTTGACTGGGGTTTAGGATACCTGTGGAAATAAAACAAGAATTAGTTAGTGTTCGAAACAATTATTTACATTGCCTAAATGTTTACTGATGGTTGTACCATATTAGGTATTCAATATTATTTTGATAGTATCTATTTTGTGTTTACTCACACACCTGCTATCATGTGAATTTACCAGTTACACATTCATTAAAGTACATTTGCATTTTATATTCTTTACATCCAGAAAATGTAGTAATATTGTGTAAGTGTTAAGAAGCATAATGTGTATACTGCATACACACGTTCCCGTAATCCTTCAAGGTTCATAATATACACATGTACTTGATGTTGTTTCAGAACTGTCAAATATAGGACAATTAAGACATTTATTGAATAATGCAGTTTTCATATTTTTTGGCTGTTCTGTATCTAAGTATAAATATGTATGAAAAAGTGAAATTCTCTTGTGTGTCTTTCGTAGAATCTTTGGGTCCACTGTACATAACATCATATTTGTATGGAAAACCGTCATTCACTTTGTGTATTATGTACAACCTTTGCGTTCACTGCATGTACCTATACTGTATTAAAATTTGCTATTTATTTGCGTGTCTTTGCAGTCTCAAGCGGTATGTGGTGTTATTATTAGTTTTGATTAATCTTATCAATAATCGATAGTTTCATTTAGTACACATAGCTTTACACGGTATGTATAATTGGACAAGTAAGATTAAGTTGAGATAAAACATATATCAAACTTGTAAATTTTGCTAAATTCTTCTTGCAATTACAATTATTAGCTTGTGTGATAGAATGTCGTCATTTGATGTGTGAGACACGGACACAGTATTTGTTTTAGCACCATTAAACAGAAACAAAATATCATTCACGATAGAGTTTTGTAATTGTCAAGTTCGGAACAAAAACATCAAACGATATTTCATGGATATGTATACATTCCAATCACCATACATCATTACTAATAATATTGGGTGATCATCTGTGTCTTCAGATAAGGCTTGAATCAACAATACGATATATCACATACATAATTGAGGGAAGAGTGATGGCCTTGGGTAAAGATTAATCCTAGTGTCATTGACCTCTGTATGCAATGTCGATATCGCCCTCCCGAAGGAGGTTTCAGGATTTTCTCTTTATAAGACTATATTACTTAAAAGCTACATCTACAGAATATTACCTTTTTAAATAAAATATTGATAAAACATACCATGGAAATGTGTAGTAATCGACTGGAGTTTTTCTAAATAGCCACATAAATATTTACTTACTTCTAGAGTGTCTAAAAGCCCATTAGAGTATTTCGATATAATGCATGCCATTAAAATATATGTTGCAATACAGACCACCATAAAGTTTTTGACAACTTCGGAGGGATATAAATAGTCCTTAAATACGCATTTTCTTCAGTTACCTCGGCTTCAAAACTTAGCCCCTGGCAACGCCGATGAGTCTAAGAATGCCGAAACAGCTGTATGGTGTAGTTGAAACCATTGTTCTATTGTATCTAACTTTAAAGTGATGTCAAAAAGGTGTTCACTTGTGTGTCTTTTGTACAACCTCCATATAATATGATAGTTATAGATAATATATACCCTCATAAAATGTTGGATTGATTGCTTTTTTCACTTGTTAGGTGCTACATGAACATATTTAAACTATACACGTGCAAATATTAAATTAAAGACAATTAAATTTGATATACATACTATTTAAACTTAGAATTTTCAACTTTATCTTACAGAATGGAATAATCAAGCCACCACGCGTGATATTGTAATAAACAACGTAGCTTGAATTACCTTTTATAAACGCACGTGCATTAATTTAGTTTCCTTATTGTGGTATTGCACTGAAACTAGTTATAAGTTGGCATTGATGACATACCATATATACATTTTACACAGGAATCAACTTAGTTTTGATCTTCTTGCATCATAGAAGTAGATTCGGGCATCTGGACATGGTCATGACACTCGAAATGACAAATATCCATCCCGAGCATTAAAGCCCACACGTACATTTTGCAATAATGTCCGACAGCTACTCTCAACATCAATTATTCACTACTATGGCTATACAGATAGGTAGTTGATGTTGCCTTGGCCCCAATAGGGAAATAAGAATCACTAGTGACGGAGTTGTTTTAAAACTGTACACATCTTGGTATTAATAATGTATTTTTCTATGTGATCTCATGGAAACCATTAATTAATTTTCCGGTTTGTATGTCACTTGATTATGTAGACGACTTCGAGATGAAATGTTACTCGTTGATAATGTAGGTGTTTCTGAACGTCGGAAAGCGTTGTTAATCACGATGGTGTCCGACTTCATTGACAGTTTTGCTTCTGTATTTCAAGATGATTTACTTGTCTGATAGTGTCTTCACTAATGGGTACTCACAGATGGGGGCTAGACTAAGGTCAGAAGGAGGTGACCTTCTCTGTCATGCACGTAAGCAATATAAGCCGGTATTTCAAAACAATGAAACATAATTAAAAGATGACATAAGACTGTTTTATATAAAGTTTATTTTATTGTGACAAGCACTTTGATATAAATACCATGCGACTATTGTAAATTGTGACAAACTAAAGTAAAGTAACCAGTGTTTGTTGTTCGGGGCAGGCAATCAGTTTAAAAATACAGAAAATTTAATCGCATACTTGTACATCTTGTTTTGGAACTATACGAATCAATTTTCGTTACCTTAGCAAAATGAGTAAGGTTACATCTTTATGTAATAGGATTGGAAAATAAAGGTATAACATATGCATGTATATATGTTTATACAATTATCTATGTATATATTTTGTAATATGACATATTAATTTATCTCAGATTGCACAAGACATACGATTTTAAAGTATCTTTTGATGTTAATCTCTAATCAGATAAAGCCAAATGTTGAAATAACCTTCATCCTACAGCTATTTCTTCCTTCTCGGACTCGTCAGTGGTGCTAACGAAAAGGTGTAGTAGGACAATCAAACGTGATCGAAAGAGGTCAAAACATGGACGGGCATGCTCTACCTATACCATATGCCACAAACCACATAACAAAAATGAAACTCGCCGCAATGAACATCTCAAAAATACAAAGAAAGCCTCAATAAATCTCAATTTATTTGTGTTGCTGCATATATATTTCAATATCAGAATCGCATCGAATTATTGATAGAAAAAATGTTTTATATCCTATCGCAATCGTTATTGATTTAGATAGACATTTCGATGGTGTGTATGCATTGGTAAAGCTATAACAATGGAGCTTACATGTGCCGATATATCTCCAGAACTGAGTTATAATACATCTGAAGTATCTGTATGCAGCAATGAACACACTAATGAAATTATAGGAATAACCAGGTATACTGTATTTAGTAGGTAGTTGGTGTTGGTGACTTGGATTTATTTTTTGCGGTCGTATAAGTATTAATAGTATTGATGTACAAGTCAAGTCGGGGGAAAACTTGACTGCTTTAACTATTCTCTAGATGCATGATAACGTCTGGAGCTCCACGTCCGTTTCGTCTGGGGCTTGGGATCAGGTCATCAAGCTAACCAACAACATACGCAGTCGACGGCTTATCTATATATTGAAGCCATTACAGGAAGTCATAAAATGACATCAACTGTGTCATTCCATAAAGTGGAATCCGAATCCGACCTAAACACACCGGGGTTTGTCTTTCACAAAATTACCAGATAATTCAAGATGTTTCTAGAGGAAAGTTAGGGCCATCATGCCCTATCATACAACTTGGTAAGAGGTGAATAGGGTTCATCACTTTATGACGCTATATCCCGCTGTTTTCTCAGTATTTTTCAGGTGTAATGGTTTTGACTTGCCAAGTCCGCCTAATGTTCGACCGAGTAAAAGTTCATGTAATGTGGTCGGTGATCTGTCGGTCTTTCAGTGCAGATGCACTAATCATTAGTGTAACTAATGCCAAAATCACAAAAGTACAGATGAACTAACACATAACTATAGATTCATATCGTTATTATTCAGTACTGATGATCTGCATCATCAGGCTGTTTTCAATCACTTCAATAATTAACATGTTAGTGTCAGCTTCACTTAAACATCTTTGTCATCAAGATCATCTTATTTTTTACGGCTACATTTTTTGAGAAGATAACATCAACAAATGCCTAACATTGGTTTGCGTTGCAGTCGTGGGGGGGGGGAGATACTGTATCAGTATATATGGCAATCTAGGAAACGCCCATCAGCCAATGTCTAAACTCATTTGGCAATATCTGCATCTGGATCTGCATGGAGGGCATGCCTGTGAAATAACAGTTCCCAGTAAATCGTAGTATCATATCAGGAAGAGGCATGTCCGCAGGAACATTATCCTGACATTGGATACTGCTTCCCATGGTCTGTCTGCAAGAAATTACACATTATGAAAGTCTGTGCATATAACATTCATTGCACATCAATAGCTCGTGACATCATCATCCACATCATCATTTGCTTCTGCAATATCGTTAATTCAACCAGAGAACGTGCTGGTATCATATCGACCCGACTGCTCTAGAGATAAAGACATGTTTCACCTTCTTGACCGCCCACATAAACTAATATAATGCAATTTTTCGCTTCCCTAAGCTACTGTCTTCCGCAGGTAAAGATAACTTACCACTTTCCTGATCAATAAACCGTCAACAATGCTGTGAATTTTATTGATATACACAGCTTTGCCTTTCATTACAAAGAGACGTATCCAGAAATAGATCCACCTCGTAGTTGATCCGACAATTCTTACTATTTATACATAAGTCAATAGAACGATCCATGCTAATATCAACTTAGACTGATCGTATGCGGATTACATAATGAGTTTCCTCAGGGTAGTCATAGATCAAATACAGGTAATTTAAGACTTCATTTTAAGAGCTGACATGCATAGCTGGAGATGTCAGTAGTCAGACTTGTGTCTGGAAGTGTGTCGATATTCTAAAGCTTCTTAATGCTCTTGGCATACCGATTGACCAGTATAGATT